CTTCCCACTCCGCCCTGCAGGAACCTTTTAAAGGGCCAAGCTCGGATGAGAAATACATGCTTGCATATTTAGAGCAAACAACGCAAAATGATGAATTTAAGTGTAGAATGTAATATAAACCCAGCTTTCACATGTCGGAAAGACATCCACACACAGGAAAAGATGCATTTAAACACATTTAAATGGGTTCAGACTGGCTGCATACACACATACTCAAGCATATGTCCGGCAATATATACAGTATACTCTCAAATACAACCCACTTTCACTTCCTTCTGTAGATATGAACCTAAATCAACACAAAGCTGCAGCACTCTTAGTGTTCTCTATACTTCCAACCTCATGTCATAAATAGTGTAAATTACGACAGTAGGTAATTTAATTTGCTTTAATAAGACATATTGTAATTACAGATTCTGGGATTTGGTCACTACAGCCTAAATAGTGTATCGCTGAGGTTCCCGACTCACTATTTCCTGTGTTTGTAGGCTGAGAATAAACCAATTTACATAACACTGACTAAGGATGTACATCTTAGATTAATGCACTTTTTGTTTAGACAAGCACTTTAATGCACGTTTCCCACTATAAGGAGAACAGGAAATGTTGAAAATAATCACAATTTTCAAGAAACACAAATATATGGCTTATTATTTCATATTTAGCTAATCACCTGTGATATTGATGTCTAAAAAAATAATTAACATTTTTATTTAATCTAATCTAATCTTTTTTGCAAAAGAATATATTTAAAAACATTATCGAAAGATTCATTCAGCTGCAGCTCCATTTCTAGCAAGCCAACCGTACCAGCCTTTACCCCTCTCACACTATTACATACATCTGGCCCTTTAATGACAGCTGTAGTGTTAACAGCTTTAGGTGCAGAATCCTCCCTCAGCGTACACAATTTGATAACCAGCTTAGCCATATTTATACCCATTGGTTTTAATATGTTAAAAAGTTCTGCGCGTTGAGCAATGCAATTCTAAAAATGGCATGAGAAATGGCCCCCAGGACATGTTCATTACATTGTCCAAAGTCACCCTACATTATGCAGATGCTTTGTCTGCACTGATAATGATTCACTTGGAAGTGAATCATTATCAGGCCTAGGAAGCCATGGAGAACATGCCAAGGCAGAGTGATTGAGCAATTTACTTATTAATTCAGCTAAAAATTATTTGGTAAGTTCCGGGAATACGTTTTGTTAGGTCAAATAATATCTAATCTCAAAATGAGTCCAGATCATTAACCTTTACGAAACCCATCCTTTTGACAGATTTAGTTCTAAAACACTTTTTAATCTTATTAACATTTTGTTTTGTTTTTTTGTTATTTTAGTGAAAACATTTTTTCACTTTGCCCAGTCCGAGGCCGTTTCTCAATATGTGTACTTGTGCGTTTTCATGTGCTTGTATGCTCTTGAAACGCCACCAGCCTCAGACCTAGAACTGTTCCAATTCTAGATTGATAGCTGTCCTAGCATGCACAGCAGCAGCTTCCAGTGGAGCACTCAGAGAGCTAAGAGTATTAAGTTAAAGTTCACCTTTCCTTTGTCGTTGTTCTACAAAAGCTTATTTAAGCTCATTTAAGGCAAGAACATTAATGTTTTAAACTTCACTATATGGCCCATTTACTGATTTAGTGTGTAATTTAAAAAAACGTTCCAATGTTGAGAGGACCGTGGCAACCAGCGGACCTCTGAGGGTAACCACAGCCAGGGCTAACATGAGCCCATCTGCAGCAGCCCGATCTCGGCATAGTGTGAAGGACTGCTGGATCTTTTGGCGATTTTTTTTGTTTTATTTGGCAAAATCTTCCTTTAATTTATGTTTATCTGACTGTTTTAATCATTATTTCCCCACTAAATGAAAAAAGTCATAATTTATTATTATCTAGAGACTATTAATAACAAGAGCTGAAATGCAGCTCGAGACTAGCTTTGAATGTGGTGATGTCATGAGTACACATCTGTTCCAATGGACCCATATTTATGCTGCGTGCTCCCGTTCTCCATTATAGTCCATACTGTCCTGTTTTCTTGTCAAGAACATTCTTGGCGAGAAAACGAGTTCTTACTTGCGTTCTTGTAAAATGAAAAAAGGGTCAGAGTTTCCACTTGAATCCAACAGAGAATCTGTGGAGGAATTTTAAGATCAAGGTGGATGACAATATTGTTTTCAACCCAAAAGACTCAGAGGTCTCTGCAAGGAATAAATGATCAAAGATACCAGTGGCAGCATACAAAAGTCCGCTCAGCAATTATAACAAACATTTGAGTGCTGTCATGAATGAACAAGTGGTTTTTTCTACTGATTATTGTGAAGAATTGTTATTTTTTACATAATTATTCAAATTAACTGCAAATAAAAATCTATTAATAATATTTAAATACTAATAATCATTTGACCTTATCGTATGTAATATATTTTTAAGATACCTTTGGGTATTTTATATTTTATAAGATACCCATTAAAATGAAATTATTATAATAGTTCACCGTGCACATTTTAATAGTTAACCGTGTTAACTGTTGTAACACAGCCACAAGGGGGAGTGGTGGCTTAGTGCATAGTAGGGCTTAGGGCATAGAGCTTGAAATCCTGAGGTTGTGAATTCAAAACCCACTACCACGGACTGCCACCCTGGCTCTCTGAGCAAGACCTTCAACCCCTGATTGCTCCCTTGGTGTCCCACGAATGCAGCCCACTGCTGCCCAAGAGGATGGGTTAAAAGCAGAGGTAAATTTCTCCAATGTGAGATCAATGAAGTTAGATTATAATCTTAATATAGCCCATTGATCCTTAGTGGATTATAAAATATATAATTAGATGTTGACAGAATGGTAAATATAACAATACCCCATCCTGGTGTAGTTGGATAGCTAAATGTACACTCTTCATCCAGGTACAAGTACACAATTCAAAAGACATAAAAATACAATAACATAAGGCAGGATTTTGTGTTTCAAAAAGTTATTTTCATTTTTCGCTTGAATTTTGAGATGGCAGTTCTTAAGCTTGGCTGTTTAAAATAACTAATAAACATGTTTTGTGTCATAAAGAAAAATAACTACTTTACATGTTAGCATTTTTACCTAAACACTGGCAAAATGAAGCCTCTAGACTGATGCAGTATAACAGGAGTGAGTCATAATGATACTGGAGTGATTGCACATGGTCTGCAAATTCTGAGGTAATAAGTTTCTGAAGCATAGACAGACGCGTCAGAATGATGGATGCTGAGCTAAGACAGTCATCTCAGTCTTAATGTTTATCGATCTTTTCTATTAGCAGTCAAGGTTATTTATAACAGTGTAAGAGGCACTGAGGTAGATTTGACATGTCATAGACTGTGCAGAGGATGGTAGGTTAAAATGGCCTAAAACGGCACCAGATACAAGACATCCTGATATCTTAAGGTTACTTCCTCTAACATACTCTCTGAATATTTTTTCTGGTTAAATAAATATTATGATTGCATTTGTTTTGGAAGTCAAGCTATGTCCGGTATGAATTTGCTCAATGAGTTAAATATCTGCCATTTTGGGGGTCCTTCTTGTCAGAGTTGCAGCAGGCTGCCCCTGCTGATGCCTGTATGGCCACCTCACTCTCCACTTTTCACCTCATATCTCTGCCTCCTCCTCCGTCAGTGAGCGTTCGGCCCAGCAACGAGCCAAGCAACCACCATGTGCCTGTTGCTACGGTGACAAGTGTCTAGGGGATACTTCTTTTGTTTTTCACAAGTCCTTTTCTTCAGCTATTAACCTTTATTGCCTAAAAACAGTTTTTGTTCTGTTTCTCAAAATTCCCTTTGCCTGCTTTCTACGTCCTTCCATTTGCTTTTCTCTGTTTCCTTTTCATACATCTAATATGTATTTTTTACCCAGTTTTAGGCCCTTCCAAAACTAAACATAATCTAAATCTTCAGCAATATTTGTTATTTTTAATATAACATCAAGCTTATGTTCCGAAATCTCCTTAATAAACTCAAAATTAAACATTTTTCTTATCGGTAAATGCAAATAGAACAAAGGTTCATTTATATAATGGATGCTGCAGTTTAGTTTCTATTTATTGCTGACATCTGAAGGTTAACATACAACATTTAGTCCAATCTAGAATTTCCTGCAGGGGGGAGACATGTATAAAAGCCTGTTTACATATGTGTATGTTTTTGGTTAATGTGTAACATATAGCACTACAAAAAGATGTAGAGCAAAGAACATTATCTTCCTGAAATGTTTTAACCTTTTTTGAGCTGTTTACTTAAAAGCCTTTCCTATTAGTATTATTTGCTGCCCTCTACTGACAAGGCAGTATACAATTAAATTGGTTTCATATTAAGAGAGTGGATGAAAAATCAAGTGCATTACATTCAAAATCATAAATAGTGCTGTATGTGAAATTAATCTCAAGTGAACAAGAATTTTCAGTTTTATAACTGAGGCTATTTGCCATTAAAATAGGCTAATGTCCAAATATGCTTGCTCCATCTGCTTTAAATCTGTGGTTCAAATAAAGATAATAAACATTTAACAAGAATTGTTAAGTTAATGATAAATATTGCTCCTCTACAGAATATTTCAGAATTTCAAAGGTTTTTAGGACACACATGTTTAAACTCGTGTCGGTTTAACATACAAATATAGCAGGCCTGCATCGTAAGTAATTCATTATTTTTTTGCTATTGGGAAATTTTCTTTGTTCATTTTTCAGATATATACAACTATATTTCTTTTCTTCACTCCATCCAAGCCTGTCTAAAATAAAAATGCATATATATATATATATATATATATATATATATATATATATATGTGTGTGTGTATATATAAAGCTTTATAATTCTAAAAACATTTCTGTTGAAATGATGTCATTATTAGAGGCTTTAGAAACAACAGCAGCAGTAATTTATAGGGAGTTTTACATTTTGTTCCTCTGACCTTTACCAAATGGCAGAAAAATGTCCTATGACTGAATGTCAGGATGAGTCACCTGTCAAGATGTTTTCAGCGATGACTTTGACCTGAACCTCTAGCGAGTGCTGGGAGGTGTAAGTGATCACAGCGGAGACGTGGACCACCTCCCCGATGAACACGGGAGAAAGGAACTCTGTCTTCTCCACCCGAACCAGAGCAGCCAAGCAACGGTCCTATGCAGGAGGAACAGAAAGGTTAAAATAATTACTGATACAAGAATAGAAGAGCTAAAATGTTTCCCATAATTTGGTTAAATAATGCTGGGTTTCTTGTATAGGCTCATTTGTTCTAGTAAAGCACTGGTACCCAACAAATAATACTGATTCAATTCAATTCAGCTATATATATATATATATATATATATATATATTTAGCGCCAAGTCAAAACACATTCAACCAGATCATACACCCAAATTAATTTTATGGTTTTCTATCCAAGGAAAACCAGCTGATTGCATCGACTCATTGATTCGAAAGCAATCCCTTACAACAAGCATGCTTGTAGCGACAGTGGAGAAGAAAACCCCCTTTTAACAGGAAGAAACCTCCAGCAAAACCAGGCAACCAGGCATTACTGATCTGAATATGAATGACAGCAGAGCAAAATGGCAAGTAACATTTAGGTAGTTTTGGCAAAATGTGACACTTTACCACTCCAGTGATTGATAATGTTAATCTTGTTATATTTTGTTTGAGAATCAAAAATTGGCAAAACAAATAAAAAAGTTAAAGGAAAAAGCCAGTGAAGAGTTTGTTCTCGGCAGAAAAACAGGAACACCTCTGAGATTTTGGATGAGTTTCAAAGAGGCTCATTTGTCAGATTAAAAGTTTCTTTTAGAAATAACCATTAAACAGCTATCAAAAAGTTATTCTTAATTCATTGTGATTTCTCAATAATATTGTAATCAGAGGTGGATAATAACTAGTTACTCTTACTCAGTTAAAGTTACTTTAGTAACTTATTAACAAAAAATCTGCTTTTAGAAGTATTTTTACTGTACTATACTCAAATACTTTTATTTGAGTAGTATCTTTATAAAATGTTGCTACACTTTATGTTTTGCTACCCTGTCCATGGTTACTTCACTGAATAATGAGCAAGCTTGTTTGTAATAACAGTTCTCCGCATGGTTTAGGTCAAAACGGGTCTTCTTTTTTTAATACAAGCTCACTTGAACCCACCATGACATTTAGAGGTCAAGCTGATCAACCACAAGGAGTAAATACTGACACTGTAGATACTGGTTTCACAAGCTTTCTGATGAAAAAAAAATGGTTTGGAAAAGTGTTTCTTTGATCTGACATTGTTATGTTTTAATTACATTATTTATTTGTTTTAATTTTAAGTATGGTCTTTAAAATACCTGAATTGGCACGTAACTTTAAAATGTTGCCTCTATTTTTCAGATGTTATGCTGACTTACTCAGTACTTGAGTATCCTGCTTACCAAATACTTTTGTACTCTTACTTGAGTAAAAATATGATGAAGTAGTGGTACTTTTCCATGAGTCAAATTTTTGGGGATTATACAGTATGCGTGCTAGACTACAGAGCTACTGAACCACGACAACAAACACTGAGGATGCGGGTCTACATTTATATGTTAAATGATAAAAACAAAAAATATTACTTATTATTCTTTGATAGTATCTATTTTTCAGTTTGTCTCCAAATCTTCTATTTAATCAGATACATGTTAACGGTTACAACGTCTGTTTATATTTGAGGTTCAGCTAGTTACTTTCAAACATTCAAAGTTTAAGGAAGTGCTCTCTGTTTTAAAAAACATGTTTGTCTCATTGTTTGCCTTCCAAACAGTTCCTCATACTGTTATGCATCAGATCTGATATGGATGCGTCTAAAGATGAGATTATCAGAGCAAATGTGGGCGAAAGTTCAGTGAATTTATCACGGTGGGACGGAAAGTGAATCAACACTGAATTTAACCATTTTTACTCTAACGCATGGAACCTAATAGCTCATAAAGTATGCATACTATATTCTATATCTCAGATAAAAGTTATGCAGGTTTTTCAGTTTTGTACTAGTGGATGTTGTCGGAAAATTTTTATCTTTCTTCTATTATATATTTATTTATCCTATTTACTCACTATAAATGTTTTCACTTATTCTGTTTCTCTCTAAAGGCGACACCATTCCCTGCAGGATGGTGTTTGTAGACCATGCAGACATTGCTTCTTCCCATAACAAATCAGGTTCTTTCTTAAGGTTTATTCATAACATGTTACTGTTAACCAAAGTGTGTGTAATTTGTTATTACTCTGACTGCTTTTCATTGTTGTAAGTAGAAGGGAAGAACGCTGCCCAGATCAGAACAGAGCAGAATGCTGTGCCATAGGGGCTTCATGATGAACTGTTCTCTCTTTGCAAAGATATGAATAAATGTGCCGACTGAGTGAAATCCATCGATCTCCGTTTATTTAACTAGGATGAAAAGTTGAATACTTTTTTCCCACGACAGTGGACTTTTTACAGAATTATCACAGATAATAAAATAAAATTAAAGGAAGTGACTGATTAAAAACTTTCAATCAAACTTTAAAAAGATGAGACAAACATCTTCTGTTTGTGCAACAGAATCTGAAATTTGCCCGGTTATTATCAAAATAAAAGAAAATAACTGTTAATCAGCTTTTAGTGGTTATTTTAATGAATATCACTGTTATAAGGTGACTCTGACCAGATGCAGGTTGATAAAAAAGTAAAATGTCAGATACACTTTTCAAGCTAAGGGTAAAGGGAAAACTATGTATATATACGTACAGTATATATGAATAGGTACAGTATATATGTTAACAGCTTTGAGATTCCTTATGGACTGAAGTGCCTTTGCTTAAGTATTTTTTTCATTCATTTTTGTATTGTATTACTTTATACCGTAGGTATTTTGTTCAATGCAACTTCTACATGTTCTGCAGTTATGTCTGTATGTTCTAAATAAAGCGTTTAAAAAAAGGGGAGAACTAGTTGTGTTTTATTACTGCCACCTGTTGGACTGAAGGTGTATGTGCTTGGTCATGGGAAACCATGTTAGCAAATTACCCAGGATTTCTAATACCTGGGAAATACTTGGGGCTTTCAATGGGAAAATAGCTGTTTCTAATATATTTTACCAAGAAAAGAAATGTGTTTTTTAGTTCAACTTTCTAAAACTCAGCTTAACATGTGGTGGTAGAGGAATCTGAGACAGTATGAAAGACAATGTTTACTTTAAAATAAGATAAGACCTCACCTCATAGATCCAGGTGGAAGCTCGTACTAGGGCTGCAACTAACGATTATTTTGTAAATCAATTAATCTGTAGATTAGTTTTTCGATTAACAATCGGATAGCCAAAGATTCCTTAAAGAAATCAGAAAGATTCACCTGGTTACAAAATGAAACCAGGTGAAACTCCAACTTTTCCACTTGAGGAATTCTGGGTAGAGCATATTGATGGACGATTTATTTTTTTTTCTTATCTTGAATGCAAAAAGTTTACATATTTTTTTACGATCTTGGTATAATTACTGCTCTAAGTGGGTCGCTCTGTCACCTAAAGGCATGTTTTACAGTCTATATATTGCAGTTAACGATTAATCGATTACTAAATTAGTTGACGATCATTTCAATAATTGATTAATCACGACAAATCCAATTTGCTATTTCAACCCTAGTTTGTACACAGAATAACAGAGATTAAACAAGCTGTTAAGTGTAATAAAAAAGACCATGATTATTGTGACAGCTGTTGGGTAGCTAAGGAGATTTAACATTTTTAATTTTAATATTCTTAATTTATTTCTTTAGAAATGTCCAGTGAGATCAGTAGATGTTTGTTTCTCTATTTTCTATCAGTGCCTTCATAGTCAAAGTTTAGAGCCTAAGTGGCCTAATGTAACCCTGAATTAGATTCATTTATAGCAGATACTCCTCAGAGTAGCTTGAGAATCCAACAGCATTACAGTAACTTCTTCTTGAAATAATGTAGAGACCCACCTCACCAATCAGCAGTTTCTAATGTCAACACAGAGCTTCGCTTTGCTACAGGATAGGAGCTACCATGGGCTAATCACACTGGTTGACCTTCAGGTGAAAGGAAAAGGTCGGCTTGATCCAACAAATCCCTCAGTGGTCGCTGAATTTTATGTGACGCACTACAGGGATTCGGAGCGCAGAGAACATTCTTCCTGACATTATTTATGGACCTGGATTGAACAGTTTCCCACACCAGAAAAAGCAGCAGGGACTAAATGTGGTCGCTTGTTTACCCCATTCTGTGTGTTGCAGTGTCTGGTGCCGACAATGCTTCCAGCTTCCTCGATCATCTTGAGGATAATCCCGCCGTGAACGTTGCCCATTATATTGGCGTCGTCTGGCAGCATAACCCTGCAGCCAAGAAACAAAAGTGTTTGGCGGTAACATTTCTGTTTTACTAAATAATTTCAGAGTAAGGTTAAGCACAACATCACAATTATCGGTCTGCCTCATAGAAGACCTAAATATGCCATTTACCCCCAATTCACATCTGTCTAAGAACACACCCATACAATTGAAACAGTTAAACCTGTGTAGGTTATACCTGCACAGGATCTTATTGAATAATGTGGCCTTTTGTGTGTTGGTTATTCATATTAACTGTGACAAGCTGCAGTCTCAAAAATGAAAGAAAATGCACCATGCTGTTTAAAAGTCATTTTGTTGAGTTGCCAAAGAAGGAGCAAAGTAGTCTAAGTTTTCTCCAGTTGTATGGAGCCTAAAGTTCTTCCTGCCCTGCCCCCACGTGTTTCTACAAACTAGCGATCAACTGATTGAAGGAAGGTTAATAAACGTTGTCCCTTCACTCACAACAAAGGCGGATTTGGGATAATTTCATTGTGAAAAATAAAGTCATGGTGTGGAAACTATTGTAAGCAGCACTGAATAGGGTAGGTCTGTTTCTTTTATACAGGGGACCCAAGTTCACAACCCTTTCAACTCTGAGTCTGTGTTCAAGTTGTAATGACTTGTTGTGGCCAAATGACTCACTATATAATAATGCTACTTTACAAAGAGCAAAAGAGTTTCTTTTATACACAATAAACCATTAAGTGCCTTTAAATAAATTAACGTGTTCATTCCTTATTTTTGCTCTAATTTTATATCACAACCCAATTAAGAACAATACATGTAGCAAATAACTAAATGATAACAATAACAACCAATATTAAGTTGCTTCAGCAGCTTTTTAGATCAAGATTTTTTTTCTCCGACTGTGTTTTTTTTAGTTGATTTTTTAGCAAATATGATGGTGCCATTAAAGTGCGATATTGTTCCTTAAAGTTATCACACTATAAAAATCTTAAAGTTTGAGGATATCTTGTGATAATGGGTCAAACCAGAAGGTGGCAGTCTACCAGTCTGTTAATGTCCAACAAAGAGAACAAAGATTCATGCTTAGTTGCAGCGGCACAATAAGAAAGAGAGAAAGTAACTACATAGACCTGGTTTTCTGCATTATAGTTGTTTTAATCAAAGAGCTACATGGTGTTCACATACTACTATACCAGACTCATTATCACCTCTGCAGCATGTGCATCTGTGCAACTGGTCCAACGACTTACTAAGTCAGGCCAAACACGCCTCAGGCCTGACTAATCCCATGAATAAGACAGTTAAAGATTAAAAACAGAACGTCCACGTCATCACGCCCTCTGATGTGGTTATAACGCCCCAATCACTTTGCTTCTTACACATGACTACTTTTAAGGTGTTTTCAAAGTAAGGGGAGAAAATGACGCTTTCAGCACAAAAAATACTTCAAGGGGATGAGTTGGATGAAGAGAAACTTTTATGACTTCCTATACTGAAATCTGAAACAACAGCAGAACTTTTCCTCAGACAACATTCAACAGTTCTAGAGTCTGCTATCAGTGTGCGGTTGCTCTGAGTTGGACAGTCATTCAAACAGCCTAGATGAGTATTTAACCTTGTGATGTGCCAATTATGATGTTTGACTTATGAAAGTTTAGCCTGACTTTTTAAATCCAACACAGCTAAAGGTATTATTAATGAGCTAAAATTGTTCAATTATATTACTATTATAAAAGAGGCTGAACATCTCAACGCAATAAAGTACCTGCTGAGTTGAAATGTGGGCCCCAGCTTTGATCCATCTCCACCATCTTTACAGAGATCCCTGCAGATTTGTTGACTTTCAGACCTGTGTTTCTCCATCACTGCTACTGTTTTATCTACTTGATCTGCCCCCTCTTTACAATCCATCTTTACACCTTGCCTGCCTCTCTTCTCTCTGAAACCGTCACTGCTCTCTGATTGTTATATTGTCTGCTACTGTGATCTCAGATCTTGATAATGCTGCCGGAAGTGATGTCATTTGTGGTCAGAGACCAACCAAACTGGATCTGAGCACGCCTGACAAAAGATCAGTAAAAATCAGCTCTTACCAGAGCAAGATTTTTGTGTCTCAATGGACAGGAAGAACAGGAAATGATTCAGACAACAGCACACCGAGGGACATGGGGGAAAATATCCCTGTAGGTTAGATTTATATCTAACCTACAGGTTAGATTTAAATATCGGAATTGTAAAGTAAAAAAAAGTTGAAAGTTCAAAAGGCATGAAGGCATATCCTTTAGTTGTTTTTCTAAACAACTAAAGGAAGACATCCTCAGTCAGGAGTATTTAATGTACTTTTCTATTTTATGGGACTTACTTTTGATGCAGTGGTAATCCTTTTGTTGGGGTGATATCTATGCACTTCTCAGACTAAATTTCCTTTCTTATGATTTCTTTATAATTTCATTAATAAAAGTGGACGAAAACATTTACAGCCAAAGCAAAATCTCTGGACCACTCGTGTAGTAATGATTTGTGTTTTTTTTTTTTGCTTTTCCTACTTTAATCATGCCATTCCACTCTAATGTTAAGATCCTTTTAAATTAGACATTTAGTTCCTACGAGGGGGGGTTCAATAAGTAATGACCCTGACCCACTTCCAGATGTTGGATCGAGCTGAAATTTTACATGTGAAGTATTTTAAATCTCTATAGATTAAATCACAAATTACAGCTCTGAACTAATTGTGGTTTCTGATTTACTGGTGTTAAAAATGAGTCAAGTCTGAGTTTTTGCATTTGAAAGGACGCACACAACGGGAGACTTTTGATCAAATGAAAGTAACTTATAGTGATAATGTCCCATAATATAACCTTGTAAAACATTTAGCAAGGTCATATAATGGGCATCATCACTGTAAGTTACTTTAACAGCATCGAGAACTGAAATTGAACTGAGGTTGAGGCGATTTCTTACATTAGACCTTTTTGTTTTTTAAAAATCAATCTGACTGTATGATCTGGTTGAATTGTCTCTCTGTAAAGGGCCCTGAGAATTGGATCTACACTACATAAACAAACTGAACTGAATGTTTACAATTTGTATCTTCACTACTTGGTTGTCTTTCTTTGAGTTAAACACAGTTACAGGATGAAAAAGGATTCAGAATGTCTTCATTATCACTAGGGTGTTTAAAAAACAAGTCAGACAAAGCCCAGGGGTTATTAAAATGGAGAGTGAGAGAAAGTGATGCTGGAACGATAGCAAAATGCTGTTCAATGTGAGTGCACTCTCATAGTGAAATAAATATATTAGTGAAACAAATATATATATATATATATATATATATATATATATATATATATATATATATATATATATGTATGCATATGTCTTGGATATGCATACATATGTGTATACATATGCATATGTATGCATGAATCTGCATTGAAATAAACCATTTCACTATAGGAACCAACAATAATGAAAGATTCAGGATGAGGGTCACTTTTTTCTGAGTCTTCTCCAAATTTCATGAAAAACTCTTGCATTAAGTTATATTTCATTGTTTTCTTAGCACTTGAATTGAGGAGTTTGTTTTAACATTTCATTCTACATAGATTTTTGTTTAGGTGGGGCAAGGTACACAGCAGAGGCCCAGGTGGGGTTTGATCCCCATACTACTAGGCAAAAGTAATGCATGCTGACTGGTCAGCCAAAGGGCTTATGCCCCAGCCATTTGGTCAGGTCGCAACATCAGCCAGAGGCATAGTTACAGCAAAGGCAAAAAGTAAAACAGTTTATATGTCAGTTCAAAGATTAAATTAGATTTTATAAATTGCATTTGAAAAGGAAAAAACTACAAAGCCCAAAGGGAATGAGGGCAGATAGTTCTGACAGGTAGAAGCTGAAAAGGCCCTGCAAACCAAAAAGAGGACCACATTTGTTTAGCTGGATGCACACCCATGACGGATGAATCTTTGCTTTCTAAAGCAAAGCACAGAGTAGTTTATTACATAAAGTAGATACAGCATAAAGCACATCTTAGCAACAAACTCTCAACCACTCTAACACTCTTCTATCACAGTTTATGTAAGAGAGAAAAATGAACAGCTAAAATGATGACTAGGAGTCTTTTGGGGAATATCTCTTTCAGTTTTGCACATTTAGAGGACACTGTCCCTTCTTTGTAGAGCAGCCACAAAGTAATAGCTTTCACTTTAGACTTGGAATAGCCTATTCTAAGACATGAATCTGCATTGAAATAAACCATTTGCACTATAGTTTCCTACTCTTTTGTTGCTTTAGTGCATCTTTTCAAAGTATTTTTCTTCTGGAAATTTTTTTACATCCATCCATCTCCCCATCAACTCTGATTGCTTCCAAATTTCTGCCATGGAAGGTCGGCCCCACAGTATGATGCTATCCTTAATGTGTACCTGTATGTATAATAACATTATGCTACACATTATTAGGCTCTATTTATTAATTAGGTCACATCAAATGATTGTTGTTTGAATTAGATTGCTTTAAGTGATAGAGTGACAGAGATCAAACACAAATCTAAAAAAACCATAAATTGCTTTTCCTTCACCTCACAGCCCTGAGCTAGGGCAGTGTTGGCCTAGTGGTTAGAGCAGTTTGCAAGTACCCGGTTTGATCCCATCAGGCTGCACTCTGGGTTCCTAAGCAAAACCCTTAACCCCACATGCTCCCTAAGTGCAACACAATGGCAGCACTCTGCTCCTGTAGAGGATGGGTCAAAATGCAGAGAACAAATTGTGGGACAATAAAGGGATTTACATTTCTTAGATAAGGTGTTCCTTTTCAACACCACAATATGTTCGTTGATATTATGTTATTGTTCACTTTCTTACATAAGGCATTGATTGCTTTAAATTAGAAGACACTATCATAAAGGGTAAAACAATTAATTGCACATAATTAGTTAGTTTGAAGTCAGACTGGGCTGTGAAGGCAAACACCAGAGATACATACAGTTAGAGTTGAGTGACTTGGCGCCCTCTAGAGGCAAAAGCGAGGAACTACCCTAACCCCACATGCTACAAAGAGGAAGTTTATTCATAGAAGGGATTTTATTTATTTATTTATTCATTTATTTTTACCCAGATGCCATTAGATTAGTAGATGTCACAATTTGTAAAACTGGATGACGGTTTATTTCCATGTTGTTCGTTTGGATAATGTAATTAAGTTAAAGGCATACATTTAAATGCAATTCCTACTTTTTTTTGTGCAGGATTCAAAATGTTTATACATGGCTCTTTAAAACACACTCATTGTTTTATTAGCAGGGTGTAGCGAACAGGCTGTCCTTGGTAAATAAACCCTCCCCAGCCGGCCGGCGCTAAGCGAGCTAAGGTCATCACACAGCTAAGATGCTTATAGGCGGCCGCTGCAGTGGATCTTCTACCGAAGCCTAAAGTAGGATCCGTGCTGTAGAGCGCAAACCTGGCATAGACTGAAAATTAGTGGATAAATGGGATCCGATCTGCGTTAAAATGAGTCCTAATTATCCGGTTTTTCATCCGGGTCACACAGCGACGCAGATAGCAGCGCTTTTTCTCATCATTTCCTGACAGCGAAGATAGTCTTCGCGTTATTTCATTAGGAAATGAACCATGAACATCATACCTGCAGAGCTGGAGGGAGGAGGATGGTGATTCGCGTTTCCCCGGCGACGACATGTTTTGGAGGATTTCTGTCGGTGTCGCGTTGCAGCTGTGCTCCTCTGTGATGTGGAGAGAAATCAGCCGTCCGTCCGCTGCATGCTCTGGTCACTGCGTGTCTTTAAGGACGCTTTTGGAGGCGAAAGTAATGCGGATCGCAAAAAAATGTTTTACTTATTTATCAAAACATTCCTTTCTTTATCACAACACCACACGCTTTGGATATCGCTGCTTAATACAGCTTTAAATAAGTTTATATTCCGGCCTAATACTCTTCAGATGGGTGAAAAAAGACGTTTCTGTGCCGCTTTTACTGAAACTACGGTATGTCAGGACTTTAACTCACCTGAAGGGGGCGCCACAGACCGCTGAACCTAATTTACACAAGCGCAATGTTTTATCATGCCTATAGGTGGCACTGTTGAGTTAAACATGTCTCTTTCAGCTCAGTCATGTTTCTGAATATTTTATGGAAATATTCATGTTGAACTGGAATTCTGTTATATTTCTACTCCAACACTTATTGCCGGATATATCAACGCTTATTTGTAGAGTTTATTTCCAGCAAGTATTTTTGGTTGAAGGGTTTTTAACAGAATTAAACAGAAAACGTCTCAATAGCATGTGCAAATTTATATTAAAAAAGGGAATTTAGGTAATGAAACGGCTCCAACAATAGGACACAAGAAGAAAAAGATCAGAAAACATGAAATAAACAAGCCTAAAGCTATAATCTTGAAGTTCAAACAAAGGACTGTGATTTAATAATTAAATAGAGAAAACACATAATAGTAAAAAAAGGTTCAGTGATAAGCATTAGACTTTGAAGTAAAGGTCTGGTGGGTTTGTTGATTTATTTTAGTATTTCATTTTTGGTTTTAGTAAAGGTTTGTTCTAGTTTTCCCCCATCAGCTGTAAGACTTTATAACCACCACTGTTCCCAACAACCTCAAGAAGTTGTTATATTAATGCTGATTTTGCACAGTTTTTACTTTAGTCAGTTAAATAACATATCGCTGTAATTTTGCACTGTATATATAGAGCTCTACTATTAAAACACTTTAAAGTGCAGTACTTTATTGTTTTTTATTTAACTCTTCATTATTATGTTATTCTTATAAAATTGTTCTATGGTCCACATTTGTGTGAGCAATATTTTTTTCTGCTGTAAACACCAGAAAATCCCCATTGTGGGACAATAAAAGGTTTTTCTATTCTAGCCCTTACAATCTGTTATTCTATTTTTTTAAGCAGTCAACCAATCCAAACATTCTCATACATTAACCATTAAATAAATACAGAAAAAAAAACAAATCAAGACGTAACCACGACATCGAGGTTTTATTTATTTACATCATAGATACAATAGATGCTGCAAACAGCACACGTACAGCACGTCCCAAAAGAGATACTCTTACAAAGACATTTAATGTCTACAAAGTCCATCTACACTGTCAGGACTTTGAAGTCCAGCGCAAATCAGTAAACATAATGACCCTTTGGGTCTTACAGGGCTGTTTCAATAGCCCCTAATCATTCAGTCCAAAAAAGAGGACTAAATATTAAACGTATACATACATGCGGATTTAAGAAGAATACGACTGTCTAAAATTGTCAAATTACACAAGACAACAGACCTGCGCGCAAAACTCAAGTATATAATACTTAATCAAAACATCTTAAAAATAAGTCCTTAATAACGATAAATCTTTACAAGTAAAGCAATTAGAACATAACATATGAAAAGGAAGTATAATACAGCCTTTGAATTAACAGACTTTAACTACAGAGATCTACCAGGGTCTCCAAACAGCAGGGCTGAGCTGCGGCGGAACTGCCTGCGCTCGGCTTGGAGCTGCTGCTGCACCGCTGTGGGACTGGGTTTCCATCCTGGAGCTGAAGCAGGATTTAAGGTTCATGAGTTTTTGATGGAGCTGAGGGAAAGCCCTGGCATTCTGGGCGCAGCAGTTCAGGCAAGTCGGAGCGTTGTGTGCAGACGTAGACCTCTGGACGAAGTCCTCGATTCGCTGGCATGCGTCTTGATCCAGATCGGTTTTGGGAAGCAAAGCGGATACGCGCTGGAGACAGGCTTTGTAGCCTTCTCTGTAACTCTCTGTTGGACCTGAAAAGACAAATCAAAGTTAGTTTTGCTTTTTTTTTTTTTTTTTTTTTTTTTTTTTAAAAAGGCTCACTACATAAGGATTTATTTGGGAACTTAAAGGGGAAAGAAATCGTCCTCACTTTTTGCGTTAACAGGAGGAATGCCACTGAGGAACTTCACGGTCATTTCCAAGATGTCAGCTTTCTCCAGCTTAGAGTAGCGAGTTTTCTGTAAGGAAAAAAAGTGATTATTAAACACACGCAGATAAAAATTATGTTGAATTTCCAGGGCTACATATTAGCTTTTCTTTTTTATATATATAATAAAAAGAATAAATTGGCTTACATCTCTGCCTGTGAGAGGAAGGATGAGGTTTTTCAAGTGGTTCAGGCTGTCATTGATGCGAGCGCGCCTTCGTTTTTCCATCAGTGGTTTCATCGTCTGAAAAGAACACAGATAATATTACAATACATCCATGAATTTTTATGACTAAAAACTCGAATGTAAAATTATAAAATATATATAACAAATGTTATTATTTAGCTTACCTTTCTCAACTCCAAAGCCTCTTTCCTTTTGGCCACAGTAAGCCTTGGAGAAAACGACGGGAGAGCGTCATAGGTCATGTTTGGAGACTTATTCTGTGTCGTCTTTGTTCAACAAAAGTGTTCAAGGGCACAATCGAAGAAGATCTGACTCTAATGGACGAAATGTGCGGTATTTATCCAAGTCCGTAGCGTCGGTTTCCGTGCGTCACGGCTACGCCCCCAAGCCAAAAGAATGATCCGGATAAGGCCAGTATACGATGAAAACAACACAAAAGCATCGAATTTTAAAAAGATAACCATCTGTCCGCAATTTTAAACTAGGCGAAGCCAAAAATGCGTGTCTGCAATTTGATCCACAGGCACAAACCAAACAAAAGATGCGTCATAAAGCTGGAGAAATCCGTGCGTAAAGACGCACAATATAAAACAAAATAAGTACACTATCAGTCTGCCAGAAATTAATTTATTTATCTGCCAAGCAATAAACATTGCTCTCTTTTTTCGTTTTTAAAAATGTTTTAGTTGATTTGTGATTTATTATTTCAACATAAGAATATATTGGTGCGTAAATGTTCCAACTTTGGGTAACTAAAAACAAAACCGAGCTTTTTTGTTTCTTGAAGTGTGAAAAAAGCATTAAATATCTAAAGCAAAATGATTTTATTTTTGTATACCTGTTTCTAAACAATATTTATATGCCTTAATCATAACACGAGCTGTGAACCATCGGATGCCCTGAAACATCCCAACTGTTATTTCTAAATGATACATGATTATTTCAGTAATATGATTTGGTTCTCTTTGTTATACCAATTCCATTTATATCGTCTAATATATTGTGATTAAAATATAGAGCACTACAGGATGCAATATGCACATAACTCGCATAGGGGTCAGGCTTGTTTGTGCAGAAAATTGTTTCCAAAAACACACACTCCTTCTCCAATCACACACCCAAGCGACGCTACTTTTTATACAGCATCTGCTCATACATTTTGACAACAATAGTTTTGCATATCCATATGACGTTTTTACGCAGTTCCTGCCCGGGGGGGGTTCACTACCTGTAGGGAGTGTCCGGCTGGAGCTAACGCTTCACGTAAAAAGGTGGGGGCTATACAGAGCATGGAGAGGGGATGGGAGTGTTCTTTGTTCAGAAAAGCTTCAGCATGACATAAAATTACAACCCTTTGACTTGTTTTTACAGAACTTTAATGTTTGAAAACTTTATCTGGAGCTGGACGTGGAGTTTTTTTGGGGGGGATACACTTTATATCTAAAGTTTCTACAAACATGTCCAAAATGTGCTCCAAAGATGCTGGTGTAAAAAAAAATATAAAAATGTAAACTGGTGTGACAGCCCATCAAATGCCTCTGCACTCAAGGGAACCACGCGCGCTGCACGCGCCACGGGGACCAGATGGCTGTCTGTTACAAATCCCAACCCCACCCTTACCCTGTACCTCCATTCATCATCATCACTTCTCCTCCCCCACACACCTCCTGGGGCTCGGAGTCCCTCCGACTTTCATCCAACTCAGTGCGGCATACGCGTGCACTTTTCCCCCTCTAAACTTCAAATGCAGGACACACGATCTCCAATCATGTGTCACTTTTGGCGTGGGTATCCAGTTTGCGCGCATCTCATAGGTCCCTTACGTCCAAATCCAATCAGAACACAATATTTCCAAACCACCCCCACCTCGGTTTTACTTCATGCTGATTGTCTTATTTGCATTGACCCTTGGCTATTTCCAGCGTCCAAGCTATCTTTAAATAAATGTTTATGAGTTCTGCTTGCTGGTGACAAAAGGAAAATGTGTGCCTGTTGTTGAGGACAACATATGCTGGGTTGCTGTGGTTTATTATTTCGATTCTTAGTAGAAGGGAATTGCCTATTGTTCCACTTGAAATGCATTAAATTAAACAAATTAAGAAACAGCAAATAAGAATAAAGACTCTGCGTTCATTTTACTCCAAATCTTTATTTCTATATATATATATTTTTATTATTTGACCATTTTTGCTTATTGGAATAGCATCAACATGTTATTTCTTTCAGTGATTCAATACAAATGTTTAGAATCGTTGCAAACGGTGAAATATTTAAAGAGGTTGTCTCATTACAGTTCTTTAAAACACAAAATTCAAACAGTTGGTTAAAAAAACGAGCGTTAATATAAAAATGTTGGTTATCCACTATAAGACACAATAGGTCATTGATAAAGAAACTGGATGTTTGTGCAAAACAGTGGAAATTGATTGGGAAAATATTTAACAGAAAATGTGGACAAGTAACGGAGATAATCACTGGTTTGAGATGGTCTCAGTAATCTCCTTTAGAGAGGAAATTATTAAAATATTAAATAACAGTTCAAGTGCAAAGTTACATATCAAAAAAGGAGAAAAAACATGATTTTTAAAATGAAAACCGATCCATGAAGTAGCATTTAACAAAGCTATATCATTATACTGATTAATGTAGCATTTGTTGGGCGCAGTAAGGCCAAGCCTCTCCGTCGGACTGAGCGGCACACTTGCTGCACGCGCCCCGCGCCTCCCGCTGGGAGGAGGGGGGGTGATGATGAGGGCGAACAAGAAGGGGGGTCAGCACTTCTCCGTTTTCCTCTTA